ACGAAGTAGGCTCCTCCACGACATCCACTGTGAATTGTCGTCCAGAATTGCTGATAATCAGGCGAGGGGGGCCGTGTCGGAGGATGACATACTGTAGCAATAACGACGAGACGTCACTCGCAGTTGCGGAGGGGCTAGCTGCCGTCTCGCTGTAGCGTGTGTGGTAGTCGACACAAATAATTATTCATCGGTTGCCCTTAGGTGACTTCGGCAAAGGGCTGAGGAAGTCGATCCTCACTTGTTCTAAAGTGTGCTTGGAGTTGGCATCGTCTCCACAAAACCAGCGGGAACAGTAGATGGACGTTTGTGACGCTGAGATGGCATGCAGTTGGCCACATAAGTCTCAACGAACTTTTGCATACCTGTTCAATAAAAGTGTTCTTTATTCCGGTGAAACGCCCCGCCACGGTGGTTTAGTGGCTAAGGTACTCGGCTGCTGACCCGCAGGTCGCGGCATGGAATGCCGGCTGTGACGGCTGCATTTCCGATGGAGGCGGAAATGTTGTAGGCCCGTGTGCTCAGATTTCGGTGCACGTTAAAGAACCCCAGGTGGTCGAAATTTTCGAAGTCTTCGCCTACGGCGTTTCTCATAATCATAGGGTGATTTTGGGACGTTAAACTCATACATCAATTAATCAAATAGTCCGGTGAAGCGTCCGCGCTGAACCTAAATATCCAGATGTCGGGTCGTCGTGCATGGGAAGTGTTCGCAGGATATCCACAACCACCAGAAGGAAACGTGCACCAATGATATAGAGGTCATGGAAAGTAAGCGACAAAGACGTTACAAGGTAGTCAAGGTTATCGGCTTTACAGCTCATTGTGCTAAGTGGCATACGTAGAAGACAGTCTGCATCGGCATGTCCGCGACCACTTCTGTAAGTGACGGTAAAGCTTTATTCTCGCAGCCGGAGTGCCCAGCGTGCAAGGCGTCCGCGAGGGTCACGAAGGTTGACAAGTCAACACAGTGAGTAGTAGTCCACGACGACTGGGGACGGCGTTGTTATAGGTGAGAAAGAAACCGCTCAATTACGAAGATAACCGCCAGACATATTGTTCCGTGAAAGTGTAGTTTTGCTCTGGTCTACTTAGGAAACGATTTACGTATGCGATGCCGTGTTCGCGATCACCGTACCGTTGGAGTATGGCGCCTCCGATATCTATGCCGCTAGCATCCGTATAAAGTTCTGTCGGAGCAGGACTGAAGTTCTCAAGGTCGGGTTCAATTGACGAAACGAAACGAATGACGAAAACTTCAATTGACGAAACGAAGAATTGCACTTCGGAGTCCACTCAAGGGAATTATTCTTTTGTAACAGACATGTGAGAGGGCACGCAAAGTCAGTAAATTGCAGAATAAAGCAGCGTAAGCACGAACAAAGCTCCAGGAAACTACGGAGCTTCTTGACGGAACGCGGGGCATTGATCGTCTCAACTGCTGCTGTTTCTCGGGATCTGGACGAATTCCGTCGTTGTCAACGAGATGCCGAAGCACAAGGGTCTGGCTGTCTCCAAAATGGATTTCTTCGAGTTTAAAACTAGGCCAACGTTTCGGATGCAGTTCAAAATAATATCCAGACGCGAGTTGCGTTTAGTGAACCTGTGGCCAAAGATCATAACATCGTCCAGGTAGCACATGAAGATGTTCCAGTTAGAGCCACGCATAATGGTGTCTTAAACCTTTCGAACGTTGCCAGAGCGTTGCATAGTCCATATGGCATCACGTTGACTTCAAAGAGCCCATCAGGAGTTGTAAAGGCAGCCTTTTTCTTGTCCTCTGGGTGAATCGGAATTCGCTAATAGCCGGATCATAAGTCTATGGAGGAAAAATAAGAGTTATTGCAAGCAGTTTATTGCGTCTTCTATACGTGGAAGTTGGTATACGTCCTTTTCAGCCCCGGCATTCAGTCAGCGATAGTCGACGCAAAATCTCCAAGATTCATCTTTTCTTAACCAGCATTACCGGTGCTGCCACCGGACTGGCTGACTCTTGTATCACTCCCTTTTGTATTATTTCCTGCACTTGGTCGTTCATAATTTGTCGTTCTGACGGGGAAACGCGATATGGTTCGGGCTGGATCGAAATTGTTGTGCCAATGTTGATGATATGGCACGTTACCTACATGGAGGTAGTGGTTATGGAAGTGGTTGGGCCGATAGCTGTCACCAGGTGATATACGGGCCGGCCGCAGGACACCACGAGGCTGTTCGGAGGGTCGTGAAAAGTCGCATGAATGGTAATACCAATTAACTACCCTATGGTTGGGAAATCGCGATATGTGGCCTGGAATACCGCAGGAATAGCACACCGGCAGAGGTCGAAACGATGGTCGCTTGTCGATGATTCCAGCGTCGCCACTTGTTCTTGTATAACGAATTTACTGGCCGGGTACGTGGTAACGAGACGTCGGGTGTCGAGGAGGCATGCGCTGAGGGCGTCAATCATACCGTGAAGCAAGAAATTGGGTTGTCATCCTTAACTCTAGGGCTGAGCTGTACTCCACACTTGCCGCGCTCATCGTTGGTTCCGCACCCATCGTTGCCACGCTTATCATTGCTCAGCGTGGGCGCTCATCGATTGGGTCTAAGGGGGCACAGCCATAGCCTCACATGATAGACGACATGTTTGAGTGATTTTGCACACTTTAAAATTTGTTTTGAACCTGTGTTGACCACTGCGTGACCTTACTGCACGAGAGTGGATAGATCAGGAGATACGCCAAGTGCCCACTATAAACATGCCTAATCTCTTCATCGTAGGAATTGGAGTAACTCGCGGTACTTCCCACCTGTTTAAAAGAGGTTATCATGGCCTTAGATTGAGAACATTTAGGGATAAGTGTGAATAGAAAGTATCTTGGTACCCTGCGATTCACTTATAACAATGCACTGACGAGTAACTCAGGTGACGAATTACAGCTCATGATTACTGAACTATACGCGGAAAGCAGAAGAGTAGGTCAAAAATTGATATGCATAGAACTAAAGTAATGTCCAACAGTCTTGACTGAAAAACATCGCTCTTAAATTACTGGAGAGTCAAGATGAATGGTAGTCTGTGTCTGTTCTTGAAGAAGAAGGCATATAAGTGCTCTTTCGTACCGGCGCCTATTCACGGTGCAGAAACCTGGAGGCTCAAAAGGAGGGTTCAGCTGAAATTGAGGTTAACGCAGTGAAAAATTCAAAGCAGAATAGTAGGTTCAAGTTTAACAGACGGGAATTAGCAGTGTGTATCAGGGAACGAAGAGAGTAAAGGTTGTCACAGCTCGAATCAAGAAGGAATGGACACGAGCCTAGGACGTTGCGCGTACGGCAGGACAAGCACTGGTCATGGGGGGTAGCTGTGTGGATTCCAAGAAGAAGGCAAATGAGAGAGGGTGAGACATGTTTGTATACCTTGTACTTAAATATAGACATATTATGCAAGACCTACTTGTACCTTAGTAAGTGTTAGTTTTATCAATTTACTCATCTTTGTCTTCAGTGTTACTACTATTTGAGTAATTTTGTTACTCAATTTTAACAGCCTTGTGCTTTCGGAACTCCTCTTGTATATCTACTTTGTAAGATGTTCCCTTTTCTGTATGAAAAGCTGAAAGAAACTTGAACATTACGTTTGCTGACAAAATTAAAAAGTTTGTATGTATAACGCGGCAGCAGAAAGCACGGGACCGGATCGAACGGTGGCAGATGGCCCACTGGCCCTGCAGTGAGCGACTTCAGCATAATGATGATGATGATGATGATGATGATGATGATGTTAACATAAAAACGATCCTTGTCTTCGAAGTGCATTCAAGTATTAGATCTTGTACAGTGAGTACAGTGTTTAGGTGATAAATCACCATTTAACGTGGCTGCATATACGTTGACACCAGTGAGAAATTCTCACTCGACGAATAACGTCAAATATATTGATTTGGCTCTTGTGGTAGTGGGAGTAGTTATAGTAGGACTAGAAATAGCACAGCTACATCCCACGCAAGGATACCATTAGCAGGTCCTCAACACTACAACGCAATATGCAGTCATTCAAGGTGTTTTCCTAACACGAGAGAAACGCTAAGGGGCGGTCTTTATTACAAGATCAATGCCTATGATCATGCTTCTACCACAAAATGCTTCAGCAACGTCATAGCCAGACTTCGTAGCGTGAATATTCAACGTGAGAAAACCTTCAGCTTTCGCTGGCTTGTCTGTCATTGGGGCGAAAGCTAAATATACCAAAGCACTCACTGTCGCATCTCGTTAGTGTCATGATGTGCTACCTCAATTAACCGATTCCAGGCAGTGTCACCAGTAAAGGTCATTGTGGAAAGGAGAAGGTGTTATAGATGTGAAGCGCATTTGTAAAGCCTCGTGAATGACCGTCGGTAGCGTTGTGCGCCTGTCGTGGATCCACACCTATTGTTGTGGTTTCGGCTGCAAGGTCAAGTGGATCAGATACAATTTTCAATTTTTCTTCGCAATTCGTGTGTCACTGATACGTTGTTGTGATAGAAATGCCTCTGGGTTGTTTAGCTGGGCTGTGGCAGAACATGCTTTCGCGCTAAAAAAATTAACTTAATGCCTCATACACAGCGAGCGATACAGTGAAATCAGAAATACTTCATGCCAGTGTGCTCCACTAGCTATGCTTCCAAATTTTTGAGCCGCAACGTGAATTCTGGTCGAATGCTGCGGATTGGTGTATTTTCGCGAAGAAAACTACCCAGAGGTCCGAGGAGAGAAATTTGTGCGAATAAGTTAGCGTCTTCGTTAAAAGCACTTTCAACAAAAATATTTCCATCGCTCTCCACCAAAACAACGCATGAGGTTTTTCACGGCACTTGGTTCGTTGCTTATGCAGTCTCTGGCGACCGCAGCTATCCTATTGTTAGCAGCAATTGTTCGCTACACAATACTATGGCTACGAAACATGGACTCTGAAATGTCCCACCCCAAAAAGTTTCCAACACGTGCAGTTGAGCATATACAGTTAAGTACACTGTCTAAGGGCTACCGCCAAATTCACAAAGCCCCATTATTTGTCGAACACATCGCATGCTTCGTTTGGCTAAGAAAAAAATAGGTATGTCCTTTTAGCATTGCTTAAGCTCTCTTACCGAGCACGTAATCATTCAGTAGGTGAACTCACAGCTCCATAGTGAAAGATGAAGACTTTGTTGATGTTCGCCCTTGCACTTTTGGCAGTCACTAAATCTTTTTCTACAGTTGCTAATGCGGGCTGGAGAATTCATGATCCTTTCAGCAATCCTAAGTTCTTACAGCTTGCGCACTACGCATTGACTCGTCAACCAACGGCGGGTGGCATTCCTGGGGTTGCTGTGCGACTACATCAAGTCGCAACACAGGTACGTCATACTTTTAAGGAGAACATTCTGTCCGGTGTATGTCTTTTTCGCCATTTTTCGCGTCAATATGTTCTGAACAGAGTTACTCAAATGAAGTTTTTGTATTCCAAGTTATATTAACTATAATCAGCACAAGGTTGCTTCCTCACCTTTTGAATCTCGGTGACTATTCTGTAGAACATTTATAAGAAAACGCAGCCCCAGCACGAAATGTTTTACTACCCTAAGTCTACTTTGTTGCGCGCTCAGGCATACTCTGTCACCTCAAGTGAACGTCAGAACCAAAAATGATTTCGTGGGTAGCAACGCTATGGCACGTTTCACTTCACTCCAATAATACCGCTGCATGAACATTTTCAAACTAGCAGCTTCGTAGGAAAGGGACTACGGAACACGTGGGATTTTCCGTAACTTGTTTTTTTACACAATAAGTAGATGCGATGCAATGCTACCATCTTCGTGGAACACATCCATGATTCTTCACCTGAATTCACAAGAGTTTATTTGTCTAATCAGAAGATATTTGTATTCTTGAACCCATGCGAGCTCACTGCTGATAATTTTGACGATGTGTCGAAAAAAAGGTAAGGATCCGACGAGAAGGTTTACGAAAAAGCGATGCCCCGGTTAGCATAGCCCAGGCAGGTGGGGGAGGGTAATAAGGGAACGCGAAAGTAGTCGTGCTTTGTTTTTGACCCACCAAAAGCAACGTGTTATTATGATGTTCAGAACTCACAATTAAGTGTAACTGCCGTACAATGGGGCAGCGTGTATTTCAATTGCAAGAATACGTTTGGTATGCTGTACATGGCATGAGAAGTGGGACGAAGGACGTACGTTAGGATAGCAAACGAGAGAGGAAGGTTAGAGAGACTTAGCTGTTGCCGCGCTCTGTAAATGACGCCACTACCTAGTGCTATCACCACCATAACGTGCAGAACTTAAAGCCCATACCACACGTACGCTTTGCGTACACTGACCGAGCACATGCGGTATGCACTCGGAAGGCTGCGCATGCGCAGACAGAGCAAGCACCGGATAAACGCTCTCCGTACGCGAATGATTGCTGCGATGTGATACGGACATTGAAATGGCGCTTACGAAGGCGTTTGGAGCTTGGCAAATGCGCTAGTGCGGCATGGCTGTTCCTGGCACCGACACAGACAGACAAGGCACTAGAAACCTCGCGAAAGCGGAAAAAAAAAGCGTGGAAAGCAGACGCCATTGCACTTGGCATGCCAATGCCGCTGCGGCTTCCGAACACAACAATATTATACGTCAGGTAAAAATTTTCACTTCTTATTTCACTTCCAATGCAAATGCTACTAATGCCGACACACTATCCACATTCACCGCAGTGTTAGAAACCATGCGTAATCTACAGTAGTGCTTCAATGCTTCACGTACCTTTGCTATTTTCCTCTTTTCTTTTTCTTTTTTGCACGGCGCACTGTAGCAGGCCAGAAGGTACTGGGTGAGGCATATGTATGTCAGTTGGAATGTTATTGTTTGTTCTTCATGAATGTATACTACCTGCAATGTGCCCTCTGTAATGACTCCAACATTGGAGTCGACAGTATTGCAAATAAATAAATAAATAAATTACTTTAGCATCCATATAACAATAAATAGATGTACAAAAATTGGTTTCCTAAGTTTTATGATGAATGATCTGTAATTTTGTACAACACAACGTCAAGCATCTATGAGTACGCTCACGATCACGGGTGCCTGCGGGCGTAATTTATAGGTGAAAACCGAAATTCTTCATGTGAGGTGCCAATGGTGTTCGCGCTAACGCGCTTCTGCTCGCGCTCTGGCAGCATGCGTGTGTTTCGGGCTTAATTAAGAACTACCTCTCAAACCCGATGCCTAAGTGCACCAGCAGTCTACTTCAATAAGCAGCTAGAAAGTGAAGATATGGACCAGGCCCGTATTAATCTCCTACTTTTTTAACCACACATGAGACATCTCGTTGAATATATGTAAGAGTGGTGGTAGAGGACCTGTTTTCAGCCGGTAGAGTTCATTCATGACGTAAAGCAGGCTTTTTATTAAAAAAAATATTGCTTTATTGCCTCAGTGCTTCTATTAGAAGAGGTGGAGTACAGGACGTTTTCCTGTGACATGCGGGTCGTGACTCTGACCTTGTAAATTATTCAGTGCTCGCTATATTGCACTCTACGGAACAGCACGAAACCGTTAAAAATGTATTCGGTCAGTAAGAAAGTTCGTGAAAAGGCGGCCACTCAGCTAGGCGACGATTCTCTGTTGCATAATGAGCCACCGTGGATGCGCAGCGGCTACGGTACATCGTTGTCGACCGGAGAGTAGGAGTTTATGTACCGGCCATGGGGGTCACATTTTGATGGCCACGAAATGCTAAATTACTGTGCAGACTGCAATTTCACCACACACTGGAAAAACCGCAGCGCTCATAAATTTCCACAACCATCCTACACCGACATGTCTCACAGCCGGCCTCGTTTTGGGTAGCGAAATACCACCTAACAAACCATCATTTTTATAGGTGGTGGTTATTTTGTTTTTAGCTACACCACAATTACTATGACAGCTATCGCGCTCTGTTTTCGTCATGAATTTATTTTGGCAGATTGTATTTTTCACAGCACCCCTATAAATACTTATTCAATGCTAATTGACGTTGTCAAAAGAATTTATTCATAGAAATCAATCTGTGGTTTCGAGTTGAGTAGGTGGTCATTTGTTCCTCCGCCCAACAAGTTTTCTGGACCTCAGGCCATCACGTTTAGGATGCTCCTGGCCAGGTCCTATCCAAGCCTAATTTTCCTCAGCATAGTCTCCTCAGGGGCGTTTGACTCTACATATCCTGATTGGCGGGAGGACAACAACTTAGCACATATGCTCTGGCAGTGCTCCTCGCTGCGGGGCCCAAGTCGGCTAACAGAAGAGGTTGGGACTCTGCCCTACGATGTTCAGAGTTGCTCCCACAACTACGAGCTGTCTAGACAGCCCACGATGCGGCGGTAAGGCTAGACCTTTGCGTTTCTACGTGGGAGCGGCCCGCGACGTTGCTCTAAAGGAGTAGCATTTCTCAGGACCCAATAAAGTTCTTTGTTTGTCTGTCTGTCTGTGCTTTTGCCAGTGAACCAACTCCCGTGCGAAGGTATCCTATGTACTGTGTAGTTTAGTGCACTGCCATAAGTATAAGCTTTACGAACTTCCATAAGCTCAACACCTTCAAAATACTCATTTTATGAGCGCTTGCACTTTTGCCTAAATCAAGCATTGGTGTTTCATTCAAGGTAAACGCGCCTTAAGAGGAGGTTGAGTTTGAGAGGTTGAGGATGTTGAAGGAAGCTGGCGGATCGAGCCTTGCATAATTTGCAGGCAATAGCCCCGCCCGGTTTTCTCTTTGCTAATTGTAGCTAATGTCTTTTGTTTTTTAACTAAGCACGAGCAGGCTTTTAAAATAAAGATCGTGCATAGCGCGACGTAATCCTGCATAAGACGGCGGCCTTTGTGCTATTCCACTTGCAGTGTTCCGGTACTCTATCTCGCTGCACTATGCCCCAAACATAATTGTCACTTATCACCAGTCACATGCGAGGTCCGTAGCCATCGAAAATTTCAAAACAAGTCGTGACACCTGTTTCCTGAAGATTGAGGAACCACGCGGAAACACAATATCCGTCACGCTGACACATGGCGAGCCTAACTGTTGCAGTTCCTCAAATAAACCTTGCCTGTTCCTTCTTAAGCTCACGACATTTAAGCAAATAGTGTTGTATATCACCGTTTTGCTTGCTCTTCAAGCACCAGGGGTCACGGAGAGTCTGATCTTGTGGAGCCATGCTGGTGTACGCGCTGATCCCGTTCGGATGCGATGAAGCAAGCAGGCCTCTTCCCTTGATAGCCCTTGTGTCACACGTGACTGGTGAGGCGTCAGCCATAACGAGTAAACATGCTTATTGACAGCCTCTAGTAAGATACGCTGATTGTCTTTGGGAGCCTTCTTCGTTTGTTTAAGCTCCAGAGCATTCCGGGCAAGTCTGTCAGCCGCTATACCCACATGTGATGGAATCCATTGAAACTTAATGCTTATACCAATGTCACGCAGGTCTTTAAGGATTCGCAGTGATCTTTGAGTGCATCGATCCAAAATCAATCCATGTTTTAGCCGCTGCAAAGCGCGCTTACTGTCCGAAAACAGCACGACTTGTTGCTGCCTACAAAGCTTCAGTTTCTTCAGGGCTGCCTGAATTGCCACACTTTCCACACTTTCACATGCTGTCGATGAAACAATGCACTCGAGTCGCGCTGCCCAGGACGCCTTTAGAGACGGGATCACAAACGTTGCAGCGCTTGCTCCACACACTATTCCGACTTATCCATCGGTGAAAATTTTCAAATGATCGGCGTAAATTTCTTCAATATACTCAAGTACCAAAGAACATACTTCTGCTGTGGGTGTGGAACGCTTGCTGTACAACCGCGGAAACGTAACCTGACAGTCGACATCCTCATGTGACCAAGGTGGGTCTTGTCGAAGTTGTCTTTGTTTGGGAAAATCAATGATAAAATGGCGAAGGGTGTTGAGGGCCACGAAAGCTCGCGATTCCATGCGTCGCCGAAGGCGACTGAGTAGTGCTCGTCCTGGGCTCGATTCGCCAAGTCGGCAAAGCTGTGTCAGCAGTCGTTGAGAGGCGAGAAGACGTGACGGCGGAAGACGAGCTTCAAGAAGCACCTTTATGCTCGCTGCAAACTTTGGCACTCCCAAAGCAACTCTGAGGCCTTTACGATCAAGTTGTTTCAGCCGTTCGTACTGTGACTCACTCGGAGAGATCAGAGGCAATTGTAAAACTACACGATTGACAATTAATGCCTCGTGTAACTTTATCATTGATGTTGGGTGGCTTCCCCAGTTTGTTCCTGCCATTCTTCGAAGAATGTTTACACCAGGTGACAGCACTGACAATGTCTTTTTTACTGCCCGTCGCCAATTCATCTGGTGTCAA